TTTACATAGAAAAATTTCACAAAGCTTTTGGACTCCTCTTCACCACAGGGCATCTAAACTATCCTACTAACCCACAGTTACCAGAGGCAGAAATTCTTTCAATACTTGTCTATTCCTTCTTCATTGTTACTTGTGGAATTACAATAGCTGCGGAAAGGCATTGTAAGGTATTGCATACACAGTAAACGTCACCAATAATGGGGTGTAAATGGGGTGTTTTGGTAAATGGGGTGTTTTAAACTTATCCAACAATTTGTTGCTGCATGCATTTTTTCCCCACTTGACTGAGTTTCAATGAAGAGAAAGGAGAATCATTTACATTCAAGTGAAAAACCTTCTTTCTGAAAACTGCCGTAACAGGGGAACTCAAAATCTCAGACCCTACCAGAATGAAAGAGTTAAACGAAAATAACACTATGTCGAAATAAATATTACTCAATCTTGGAAATTAAACTAAAGGAAAATGCTATTTGAAAAAGTAGTCGTTTTTTAAAGTAGCAAAATAATAAAAATTAAGAAGCGTATAATTATACAGATTATTACAATTGCTAATAAAGTATAACAATTTTGGTTAATTTGTGAGTCATTAAATGAAACATTAGTGATTATAAAATAGCATTAATTGCTCTATAAGTTACGAAATCAGACATAAAAGTATCCTTTTTTTTGTTGAATTTCTAAAACTCACATTTTGGATTAGCAATAATCTGGGAAATATAAATTCAATAGTTTAAGCAGGAAAGCTAAAAAAAAGTGTGAACCCCTTAATTCATTAACGCCCAAATTTTCTCTACTTAATATATTTTAATGAATCTTTCAAATCTTATTTATTTTGTCTGAATAAGAGTTTAAAACTTAAAATTTAAGCATAATTTGAATTAATTTTAAAATTATTGCATTGAGCTCTCGAAGAAAATTACAAAAATTTAAAAAAACACCTAAAAGGAGAAAAAAGTTCCTNCTTATAAATACAGATTTTATATAAATGATAAATAGGTTTAAGAAGCATTAAATTTTACTCAAAAATGATAACTAGTTGCATATTAGATAAAAAAAATTTTTGTTTAAATCAGTGACATTTAAAAAAAAAAATCCAAGTGGTTTAAATTATGATTTTTCCCTCTTTCAATACCTATTCATGTTAAATAATTCCTTGTTAACAATGCTTGATATTTCTGATCTATACTGAAATAAATACAATAATGTTATTTTTTTAACATATTAATAATTGGCACATTCATATATTTTAAATAGGCGCTAAGAAAAGATGTTGGTGCATGCAAAAGTCTAATTCAGACATGTATTCTTTAATCCAACATGCTAAGCAGGACATGTATTATGAATAAATGTTGAAATTTTTTAAGCACTGGGAGATTCTGAATAACACACAAAAATAATGGGTTAGCATTATTTTTAAAAAAATATCTATATATGTATGCATATAGACATAAATTTATTAAAGAAAATTATTTAGAGTCAGATAATAATAAGAAGAACAAACAGGTAATGAAAGTTACAACAATAAATTTAACATGTTAAGCAACATACCGAGCTGGTTCCAAGAGTTCTTTAGCAGTTACACCATCTCCCTGCTTTAACTTGATTAATGCCAATTCAGTCATAGTGAAAGGTATCAAATACACATCATCTTTAACTCACTAACTTACAAAAACAAGTGCTGCCTAATTCTACAGACTGTGAAACATCTTTATTCTACTGCCATTAAATATCTGCAAAATAAAGTTTCAGGGATTGTTAAGCTACTTAATTTTATTTTAATAATTACAAAGATGATAAATATGTACATTGCACAAAAAAAATAAATGGACCACCATGAATAACTTTTTATCTAATGATTAGTTCAAGAACATAGACTTAAGGGTTTGGGTGGTGACATCAAATATTGCTAATTAATTGGTGCAGACGGCATTTAAAATTACGAAATCAGACACAAAAACGAACTGTTTCTGAATAAACTTTTTGAAAGATTTGAAT